ACCACAGGTTGGTGTGTGTTTCTTGGTGATTCCCTTATTTCTTGGAAATGTAAGAAACAGAAAACAGTGTCCAAATCCACTGCTGAAGCTGAATATCGAGCAATGTCTTCATCATGTAGTGAATTGACTTGGCTTCGAGGATTTTTACAGACACTTACTTTTCCTACTCCTCCTTCACCTTTTTATGCTGATAATATGAGTTCTATTCGTATTGCATCCAATCCTGTCTTTCGTGAGCGTACCAAGCACATTGAAGTGGATTGCCACTTTATACGGAATATGTATCTTGCAGGTGCCATTAGTCTTCCTTATATTGCTTCTGAGCATCAAATTGCAGATATTTTTACAAAGGCAATGACAATTGCACGACACAAGTTTTTAGTAAGCAAACTGACACTGGTTTCCCAACCTCAGTTTGAGGGGGAGTGTAGGAAATAGGCATATTTTGTAATTTTGTTTTATATTAAGAGCTTTTATGTAACTTTACATTTTATATAACCTAATATTTATATGCTGCTAAGGGTGAGCAGCTCAGTAAGTTGGTTTTGCACCCTCCACTTCCGCCTCACTTTACATAAGTAGCCGGCACAAAGTTTTAATGCAATCTCTTAGGTTGAGGCTGAAGCTCCAGATGACTTCCCAACCTCTTTTCACTTACTATCCTCCCAAGCCAAGAATGTTGAACGAAAGCCTCTTTGTATCTATTAGTCATCACAAATTCAATACTCCACCAAGAATATATGTAGTAACAACCGTTAAGTATTTATAGAATAATCCTTGTAAGTCAAAAGGTAAAGGGCTTTCCAAATCTATCAATATCAAATACACTCCCAGTGGCACAAAAAGGCCTTTGGCTAGACCAGAAGGTCACCTTGATCTTCATACAACACTACATCCAAGTTTCACACAACATACAACATAGACAACACTTCGCACAGACAAAAACTTAAGATTTAAACACCTTTCAGCGTCTACCATCACTTGCGTCCCCTTGAGATGCTCTTCTTCGGGGTCTTGTCTTAAACAAGCTTTCAAAGTCTAATAAATACTGTTGGTTTGATAATCTTGATCCCATTGTTGTTTTACTGTCACCTATTATCTAGGAACCAATTTGTTTATTAGCTACTCTTTATGACTTAGTGCAGGACGTGTCTATCTGCATGTTAGCCATGTAGCCTTGTTTTTAGGAGTTAGTTGCTATTTATTTGGTTGTATTGTTGATGTCTTCTGCCTATATAAAGGCTGTTATCAGTAAAATAAAAAGAGTTCATATCAGAAAAATATTTCAGTTTAAAACTCCTCTTGCTGCTGCATTTCCTTCTTTTTCTCTATCAAATACACTCCCAGTGGAACAAGGCCTTTGGCTAGACTAACAGCTCACCTTGACCCTTCACACAACACTACATCCAAGTTTCACACAAAATACAACATAGAAAACACTTTGCACAGACAAAAATTTTAAAAATATAAACATCTTTCAGCATCTACAATCACTTGAGCCCCCCTGAGATGCTCTTCTTTGGGGTCGTGTCTTCTGAAATTGGGTTGGATGAGTATACCTGTCTCCCTGCACAACAGGATGTTTCCATTAATTTTGTGTACATCAATTAAAATATGCCACAAGTTAGAACATATGGAAACTAGCATCAATCTTCAAACCTGGTGTTCAGATGGGTCATTTATACAGATACCAGGTCCGCGTGGCCCTTTTCTTCCCTGCCCTTTACTCGACTGTCCATTTTGCTCCATATCTGCTGTCATAGGGGCCTTGCCTTTGTCTTTTCTTCTCCCATCAAACGAAGTACCAGGCTGAGCAAACAGAATCCAAAATAACTTGTTAGTTTCTATATGGTCAAAAACTTATTAAGAAAAAAATTTAATTTTCTAGAACCAACATTAACTGAACAAGACCAAGATGCATGGTGGCCTGCAAAGATCAAGCAATAATTGGAAAAGAAATAGCATAACTCATAAATCGCAAGACTTTAGTTGAATTTATTCTAACATCAATCTTCTAAGTTCTAACATACTAAAATTCTTGTTCATTCCGCTCAAAAAAAAAAAAAAAATTTGTCCCATCATTCTAACCAGAACAAACATGAATGCAAGCATAAATACAAGATCACTGAAAGCCGACTAACAGGCGAGCTCGAGGTAGCCATAAAATCTAATTGGACGAGTTAGAAACTACGAGAATGGCTGGATTTAAGTGTAATTGGAAGAATACCCTGCTGTAACACGAACCCTAGTTTTTTCAGATTTGGGAATTTTAATGATGTTCGGGGCTTTTCGTTTAAAAAGCGAGCTAAGGAGGATTTTTTTTTTTCCCCTCAACAATAATGGGACTAACCAATATAAAATATGTATAAAATACAGGACAGATTGCACATGTTGCCAAATAATTGTAAACACAATCCTGTTTTAAACAGGTAGCATGAGGTTGACAATATCTCAAGGTCTAATCTTATTAAATTGTTGGGGATTTATAATTTGAATTAATTTAAATTATAAAATATTTTTTAATTATAAAATATGCTGTTGATAAAGATAAATTATATATCTATTTTTAATATTTATATCATGACATATATTATTATATATTATTATTAAGGTGATATTACAGAGACAATATTTTTATATTATTTTTTTATACAATTTTCACATATCATTAAATAAGTAAATTTATTTAATATCACAAATTTTACATAAATTAAAAATATTAATTATTTAAATAA